TTAATTTAATTTATATATTTTTTTACTTTGCATTATAATTTACAAATTCTTATTTGTGTACATTGTTGATTTGAATTTCTCTTTGCTCCACCATATAATTTAACTTTCAATGCTCAGCTCACTCTACTGAAATTTAGCAGAATTATATAATACAACAGCAATTACTCAGCTTTACTTACAAAATTGTCAAACAAGTTTATATGTTTAAGAAACAGTTTAAGTAAAATATTATATGCTTGAGATATTGTTGATATATCAAAAGAAATGACTTCGTCTCTGTCAATGTCACCAGAGTAAATATAACTGTAACTCGTTTTATTTATCATACATTACAAAAAAGCCACAAATATTTATTTTCATCAAACCAAACAAAGCTAAGCAAAAGAAAAAAAAAAAAAAAATTTAAAATAAAAAGGAAAATTAATAAACAGCTTATACTTTGTGTAAATAAATGGGCAAATAAAATAAAATAAGCTTGCCGGCAGCTCAGCTTAAACTGTAAAAGACCAACCTTGCTCAAATATTAAAAGCTACTAAAAATTTGAAAATTTGCCAAATTTATACATAAATTTATTTTTATTTTTGTGGCTTACTTTCAAATAAAAATGCTGAATAAAACAGGAGCAAAAATCGTCAGCGTCATGAAAGTTGTAAGGGAATGCATTTGCAAAGGACCGGCACTTAGTGTGCAAAACTCACACAAACTAAAAGCCCCATAAAAAATTAGTAAACAAAATAGTGAGAGAGGAGAAGAGCTGAAGAGGGAAAAGCCTGCTCGAAATATTGAAATATTTTGTTTGGAATATCAAATAAATACACAGTAAGGCAACAGTTTAACACACACTCAATGGCTGGCCAAAACAAATTGAACAGTTAAAGAAAATACGAAGACTGATCAAATATATTGTTTCTAGTTGAAAATAGTTTGGTTGCATTTCAAATAATTCCATTTCCATTTGTCTGTGAGTAAATGGAGCGCGGAGCATGGCGCATGATATATGAAGACACTCATTAGGCGAGCTCTGGCAGACACCTTCGGTCTAGCCATTTATTTATTTGTCACTGCTTAGCATAAATCGCGCGTTAGGGTGAATAAAATGGCATAAAATTAACGGTGCTCCCACCCCAATACCATGAGAGCGCCATTAAAAGTCACAGCTCAATAGCACAGTGGAGCGAACGCGATTTAATCATAATAAGAAAAATATTTATTGAAAATTATTTTTTTAATAGAACTTTGGTTGAAATGTTTACAAAAAAAATAATAAAGA